GGGGTGTCCTCTTGGTCAGTTATCTTCTGGAGGAGCCGTCTTCTTTCCTGGAGTAATTTCTCATTCTCGGCGGTGATCCGAGCAATCAGCACCTTCCCCTGAGCAGTGTTGCAGAAGGAAAAAAAAAAACCAGCGGTTACACTTTGCTCTCCTCTGTCCTCTGTAAACCCTGGAGCGCTTTACCAAGGGGTTACCACCAAGCACGTTCACTCCTAGAAGTGATATGCTATTTGATGTAACATATCCCAAGAAGAGGCTTTTGAGTCACTTCTCAGCAGTAATATTTCTGAGGCTAAAGAAGATGGAGCTTAGGTAGTTTCTGAATGGGATTTGAGGACATGGTTTTTCCCCGAGGGCAAGCTTGAGCCAGGAATTTCCTTTTGGCTTTTTGTTCCTACAAGGACCGGGCTGGAGCCCCTTGGCAATGCAGCCGCTTCGCAGCGCAGCGTCAGTCCTGCGCACAGAGCAGGAACAGCACATCAGGCAGAGCTCCCCGTGCTCCGACTGTCTGGTTGTTTAACAGTGTGGTCCCCTTGCCTACAAGCCAGCTGTTCCTAAACCTCATTTCCTTCTTTCCTAAACTGTCTGTCTTTTTAGAAGAAGGGATGCTCCTGCAGACACGCTGTAGCCTGCTCCCCTGCCTTCCCTTGTGGGAGAAGCCCTTGATGTGTTCTCTCACCTTTTCCACTTGGAGCTTTGACTCGCTGAGCTCATTTTCAAGCTGCTTAATTCTGTTGTCCCTTTGTTTCACCTCGTGGATAAAGGTCTCCTTGGCTCTGCGGATCTTGTCTTTGTGGCGGAGCTGCATTTCGTTGTATTTCCTGAGGAGGCAGAGCGACAAACATCAGGCTGTGAAATGCTTTTGTCTTCTGGGTCAAGATCAAGGCAGGAGACGTCCTGTATTTATTCAGGCCCTTCAAAGCCTGAACAGGGAGCCTCAGGCATCTACCCAGCTCCTTTTGGCTGCACAGGTGAAGGCAGAATGAGCACGCTGACTTTCTGGACTAAGTCTTTCACCACTCAGTTCAGGGGTTTTTTTGTTTGGTTAAGTGTCAAGCAAATGGAAATTCATGGAGGTAAAAAGACCCAAAGCATTCCCAAAACTGACTCCCAGCATTGCAAATCCTTGTGCCGGTCCCTCTCAGCTCTTTATCGCAAACAAGGTTATAAAGTGACCAAAACTGGAAGTAACAGGGAAAGGGTAAGTTGTTTATTTGGGTGGGGATGTGGGCGGTTAAGGGGAGGTACTCACGTATTGGGGAAAAAGACCGAAAAAGAAGAATCCTAAACAACAAGGGTCAGGCAAACAGGTTGCAGAAAGAGCTACTACAGTGGGCGCTTCTTAGAGCTGCGACACTGTGGTTAAATATTTTTCTCTACTGAGACTTGTCATTGTTGCTCTTTTCTTCAAACTTGTCCCATTTAGGCAGTGTTCTTGTTTATTTTTATCGTTTGGATAGAAGGGAAAATAATGTCCCAAAAAAAAGAGAAATCACTACCATATAAGGGATATTTGCCCACATTTGCTCAAAATTCATGACAAAAAGGCTTCAAATTAGATCAAGAGTGCTCTGAGGAGAAACAAGCTGCTCCATGGAGCATCTCTGCCAATGCCACACCCTGAAGAGCAGCACCCGCAGCCCTCCTAGGCACCCCCTCGTTTTCTGCGCTGCCTGCAGCTGCCAAGGAGAACACGACAGCAGACGTGCAATACATAACATAACTGCACGCAGGTGCGGCGGGTTAAGGCAGATCTCTTGGTGCTAAATGCCTTGAACAGCAGAGACAAGGAAGGCTACAGAACAGTCAAATCCAGTGTCACTGCCAGGCACATAAAAAGCAATTCCTGGGTAGGCTTTTTTTGCGTGTCTACATATCCTCTGCTGCTTCGGTCATTACCTGACATACAGATCCTTCTGGTTCAGGAGACTGACTCCTTCCTCATAAAGGGCTTTGTTTTCCTCCTTCAGGACTGAAAGTTGCTCGGAAAGCTTCTGGTTCTCCTTCTGACACTGGAGGTGCTGGAAAACATCTATTTTTTATTTGTGTGTGTGTCCTCAGCTGTAGGGGTGCCTCTGCCTTATTTCAGTCTGGACTCCAAAGCTTCTCTGTCATAAATCCCAGTGGTTCCCACCACAGATAACACCAATCCATTCTGCCTCCCCAGGCCACTGCCTCCTCCCCTTAAAGAAGGCGGAGTGTGGATTTCTGTGCTGTGGGGGGGCCTGCAGGCTTCAACAGGTCAGAGGGAGATAATGCCTCCGCCCAGACAGTGGACTCTGACAAAATTTTCCTGCAAAAAGCTCCATGCTCCGCAAGAAAAGGAGTCAGCCTCTTCCCTTCTCCCTTCAAGTCCTCCTTCTCTGCCCTCATAGCTGCATCCCCAGAAAACCTGCATGAGAGGGGGTGGTGCTTTCCCTCCAGCTCCTGTTTAAATCAGTGGGATCTGCAAGGGCTCAGCACCTGGCTGGATTTGACCCTATTTCAGCAGTTCCTAGGAACACATTTCACACTGGGATGGTGACATGTCCCCCTAGAGCTCAGTGGTCTGCTCTGGAGCCAGCCATCAGCACAGCGTCACCTTGGGTGATGAGGACCCGTCCGTGCTGCAGCTCACCTCACTCGAGTCAGTTTTCCTCTCATCTTCTAGGACGTGCAGAGTCTTGGCCTGCAGCTCCACATGCATCTTGGCCAGCGACGCCTCCGTCTCCCGCGAATGCTGGAGCTGCTGCCGCAGTTCCTCCACCTGCTGCTCCAGGAGCTTCCTAAAAGCATGTTGGTGTGACAGTGAGACACTGACGTGGAGGCCAGCCCGTGATGTGACACTGGGAATTCAAAGCTGGCTGCAATCTACAAACAACATCACACTGCTCTGCACCTCCCCTGGGCAACACTGGGGGTGGAAAGAAATCAGTACATGATTGTACTGATGTACAGAAAGAAATCAGCTGGCTGTCCCCATGTCCCAGTAGCATGTGAACGGGTGGAAGATGTGTCTGGGATCACCAGTCCCAGCTGCATGAGAAAGGTGACTGCTGGCATCCAGAGGGTAAACCAAATCACTGGGCTGACAGGAGGGGCCACGCATCTTCTGAGGCCATTGAAGTCTCCAAAAACTTTTAAATCTCATACAGAGGGGATCCTGTGGAGCTCTGCCAAGGACACTGGCAGGTCAAAAGGAGAGATAGGAAGCAAAACCAGCAGTGCAGTGACTGGGAGCCCACCTAGGGTCGGGCACAGAGCTGCAGGAGGTAGCTGGCAGGCTGGCACAGCAGCATTTGCTGGCGCATACCTGCCCTTCACACGCAGAACAGGCCTTACCCAGCTCTGGGTACCTTTTCAGCTGCTCCTCGTGAAGTTCTTGCTGCACGCGAGCTTCATTTTCTCGGGCCTCCTTCAATTCCTCCTCCAGGAGTTTCTTGTCTGAAACATGGGCCTCTGCCAGCAGGAGTTGGTGTTGTGAATCTTTTAGCTTTTGCTGGAGTTTTGAAATCTCGGATTAAAATTGGACACAGATTAAACTTTCTGAATTTATAGTCCAGTATCTGAATCCAAGGTATTCACATCCCTTTGATCCCTCAGCTGAGTCATGGAAATGAAAGATCTGCTTGCTTCTATCCAAAAGCACTTCTGCGTGTCTTTGTGTCAAAGTCCATTAAAAGTAAAACCTTTCCAACAGCTACCAGATTTTGCATCAGATACTATGTCATGAATTAGCAACAATCCTTTCTGCACCTAGTTTGGTCCTGCACACTTCAAAACCAAATCCAACAATTAGTGCAGGAACACGGCACAATCGATGCCATGGAAAACACAAGCCTTTGCAATTCACCAGATGGCAAAGAGCAGCAAACCTCCTCAGCAAGAACATGATCTGGGCTCCCCGCACCTGCCAGCCCTACCACAAGTTTTCTCAGAGATACTGAGCTTGAGACCCAGGAGTTGAGCCATCAGATTTGGCTTCTATTGTCTTGATTATGTTCCCACTAATAACAGACATTTTTCCTAAAATATTTATCCAAGTGATCTCAAAATTGACTAGCAAAATGGACTTCAGGGAACTGATTCATGAGCTGCTAGTGCTTCTTTTTTCTGAACTACAGTTGCACAAAACTGCTAAACACACGCCTCCCATTAACTTAGCTCACGCTGACGAGTTACCTTTTTTTGTGCTTCGCATACTTTGGATTTCTCCTGTGCAAGTTTCTCTTGCAGACTGCTCTGCAGTTTATCAGCCTGGGAGCACTTCAGGAGCTCTTGTTCGAGCTCTTTGACCTTCTGCTGGCTTTTTTCCCACTGTGCTGAGAGAGAGGAGCATGTTTCAGTAGTGTCCGAGAGTTTTGCCCGGGCTTGCTTCAGCTCAGCTTTGACCTGAGTTTCAAAAGAAGAAGAAATCAAGTTTGCACTTCAACATATATCATCTGAAATGTCTTGATTAGGAAAGGGGTAACAGGATTACCAGAGTGAAGAAGAATAAAAGAGAAATACAGGAAGCAAGTACAGCACACACAAAGTTTTATTTGGAGGCAGTCCAATTTCCATGAAGTTGAGACAGAGCACGCTTGAGAGCCCCAGGCACCGTACGGTCAAGTGCAAACGAGGTCCAGTGTGTTGAAACCAGCACCTCAGACCTCCCATCCTGTAAAATGATGTGATGCTGTCTTCAAACAGTTCCCCCTGCTTTGTTCCTACCTTGGTGCATTCCTGTTGGAGCAAAAGGTTTTGCTTTTGTAAGTCGACATTCTTCTCCCTTTCGTATCTCAGCTCCCTCTCGGCTGAGCTGCACAAGTTCTGAACGCGGCGCAAGTCCTGCCGCAATTGCTGCATTTTTTCCTCCTGCTGCTGGAATCTCTCATCGGACAGACTCTGCAGGAACAGTAAAATGACAAAGGTTACATGGAAATTAACTTCAAGGCTAGTAATTAAGGTAGAGGTATGCCAGTAGGATTTAAGGGCATTTAAATAGGAAGATGGATAAGGCCAGGCAAGCATTTCTTCTGCCCCCACACTATGTCCTGCTCCCTACCCGGTCCCTCCCCTCAGAGAAGCCAATACAATTCTTGAGGCTGAGGGAGAAGATGCTATAACCTGGATGAAGGAACAATTCCCTGTTAAAACTAACCTGCCAAACAAAAGCAAAACCACCCAGGTTTCTCTTAACTCTTGTGCCAGAGTCTCACTAAGGCAACTAAGGAGGAGTGGCACATCCAGCTGTAACTCCCAGAGGTAGCAGGAACAAAGCAAGTCCTGGCAGCGGTGCAGGAACAGACATGCTGGCACAACGCGACAGCAGCCTCGACACCATGAGGTGGTCACCGATGATCTGTGATGGCTTTCAGACAATAATTGAGCTCTTTGGTTCACCCATCTTCTTGCAAGTGCCTGTACACAGGCTAAAAGTTCTTCCCATGTCTGGTGTACCAAAACCCTTCTTCCCACCATCACTTTCAGCTGTCTGTCGATCTGCATTCCCGCTTTGCATCTCCGCCCTCTGTTCTTGGGACCAGATGAAATCCACTGAAGATCAAGCTTCCCTTCTCAGATAAATCCCCAGATAAATTCCCAAGCTCGGAAGTCTTGATCCAGCACTGTGGGATCTGGCAGTGTCATTTGTCCTCAAGATCAGTTAGGTTGTTTGGGTTTTTCCCCACCTGCCTCTATCAGGATCCTTTTCAGCATCCCCTCTACACTGTGTATCTTGCTTTGGTCTGCTCTAACTATACATATTTGCTGCTTCTTGGTAACAGCATGACGCTGATCCTCTTCTTTCCACTCCCACTCCTGCCTACAGGCCACCCTGTCCTCTCTTCTCTTCCAAACTCTTGCACAGAGCCCTTGCTTCTCAGACTCCTCGTCCTGGGTACCTTCATAATGTCTTCCCTTTTTAGCAGGGCTAGCTGCTCTTCCCCTTCTTTTTTATATCACACGGTAAGAAAGGTGAACAAATTGCATTTAAAACTCAGCTAAACCTAGTGACAAGTAGGGGTCTTGCCTGCCAGCTGGTAGAGCAACGGGAGAGCAGTAACTGAGACACAGGCACAGGGCTGCAGCAAAACCCCGCCGCTTGCTGCCCACAGTGGCGGCTCACAAGTCGTGGGATGATTTCAAGCACTGGAGTGCAAGAGCAGAAAATCCCAAGCAGGAGCAGGGAAGAGGAACAGCTTCTGCCTACAGTAAGAGCAAGACTGTTGTGGGAGTAGCAAGCCAGCACTATTGCTCACACTCCAAAAAAGGCGCTGAGAAAGACTGCCAAAAGGCTTAAAACATCATTTAAGGACTGCATAACTTACTTCTTTCACGTGTACTAAGGGGGCTGTTCAGTTTATCCAAGCTCCCACTATGTCCAAAAACATGATGGAAGAAAATGATGACATTCCTAATTTCCAAACATTTTCCTCAAGCAAATCAGTCAGCCTCTCATCTCCCCCAGCATGCTAACACTGCAAGGACCAGCTTCCAATACACTTTAATTAGGTTTTGTCACTAAATTAGGGGAAAAAAAAGTACAGTGCAGATGGCAAAGCTGCCCATACCTGTTTAATGCTCCCATCTAAACTGCCTGCAGAACTCCATGACACAAGAAATCTGTTCTCTCTATGCGCCGTGCCTTGATTCATCCTCAAAGTCTCCTCAAGCGTGCTGTCACCCTGCTCCCAGGTAGCCAGGATATCTTGTTTTAGCTGGGCAATTTCTTCCAGTAACAACTGTTTTTCTTCATTGCTCTCTTTTAGTTGCTTTTCTAGCTCCTCCCTCTTCTTGTTGCTTTCTAGTAATTCAGAACTTGAAGGAGAAATAGTAGAGGAGAGAGATAACTATACACATCCAAGGGAAACCACCCTCTGAATGGGAAAAATGTGGGATACGAGAGTCCAGAGAAACACTCAAGGCAACGCTCAGGTATGTCGGGAGGCTCCAAAGAGGATTTAATCCTGGGTCTAGTAGTTCTGGGCAAGGGTCAGTCTCCCCTGGACACTGACCCACAAAAAAATGTGTGTCCAAAGGGTCAGCTCTCAGTCATTCCCGAGTAGGTTAACTGCTGGTTAAGGAAACACTCGCATGGGGCCACATGAGCTGGTCTGTGCTCACAAGCAGCAGAGAACCACTCGCACAACACTTCGCTGTATGGAAGTACGGGCTCAGGTCTCTGGATCAAGCTGCCTGGCTTATCTCGATCCAAACTGTACGTCCCTGTAAGCTAACCTGCCTGTTTTATCCTGGTTGTACTTTATCGCAGCACTTAGTCATCCAGGTAACTGAGCTGACTGTAGCTATACTGGATTCAATCCAAGCTTTTACTTACTAAAAAGAACCTGAGCATGGATGCTCTAACTCCGAATTTGTATTGATTTACTGAAAAAAGGGTGTCAGGGGACCTGTAAGAGCTTTATTTACAACCCCGATGCCTGCTGACACCTGCCCTCCAAGCACAACCAAAATCCACAGACCGATGCACATCACCAGCTGCTGGCCGCAGTTAGCCCCAAGGAGCCCAAGCCCACGCTGGGAGCATTTTGGGACCGTGTTAGTCCAAATACAACCTCACACCAAGAGAAAAAGCCTCCTCTTTAATGACAGCTCTCATTTATGCCGTTAGAGCTGCAGAAAAGAAGCTCCTCACCGATCATGGTGTCACTAAGGGAAATGCTTATTCACCAAAATCTCTATAGAGAGACGATTAACTGATAAGGAAGACACAAAGCTGCTGTGCCCATTTTGCCAGAAGCAGCACTATGGGGATTTTTAAATGACTAAAAAATTTGTCAACAAAGATAAGGAGCAGAAAGTACCACAGGCCTTGATGAGGTTTACCAGAGCAGTTCTTGTTCATCCCTCAAGTTTTTGATCTGTTCTTCCAAAAATACTACTTTAGTCTTCTGTTCTTCGTATGTCTTTTCACCTGTACATAGATCTTCTGTATGCTCGAGTTTATTAATCTGTTCTCTTTCTTGTAGAAGTTCAGAGACCTGTAAGGTCAGAAAACACCACGACTTTGATTTTCTTTGGTCTCATGGAAACCTTTTGAGCAGTATAAGGCAATCTGGGGACTCCATCAAGACATGGCTTGTGATTCTGTAGCTAAATTATTGTAATACTTCACTCTTGAAGATACATGTGCAAGTCCTTTTTTCTGCATGGGAAGTAGCTGCACATAAACTACCATCAAATCACATTTCGTTATTTGATTACATCCTTCTGTTGCACATCTGTAGTTCTCAGGGCTTTGTATCATGTGCCATGTTTCTTTACAAAACTAGCAATTCTCGAAAAAACGGGAACGGTGCAAGGTATGTATTCAGCTGTCTCATACAGAGAGGATCCTCCATTCAACTCAGCCCAAAATAACTTTCTACGGATGGCTGCTCTCCACTTTCAGCATCACCTAATGCCTTAACACCTGGTAATGGCAGACTCAAAACCTGAGACACGGAGAGAGGATGCCAAGAAAATAAAAGGGGTAAGAAAGGAAGGCATGAGGAGTGCATAAAGGACACAGGAACTCCCAGACTGGATAAGAAGCAGAATCTGCCTAGCCTAATGTCTCCTGATAAAAGCAGCAGTGAACCCAAATCCTTCAAAAAAAAAAAAAAAAAAGCTATTAAGTCCACTAAACACTAGCAATGACTTTGATTCCTACAGCTTTTTAATCAATAGCTCTTCCTGAGTATACGCTAGTGCTAACATTTCAATTCCAGGTATTCTTATCTACACCAAGATGAATTTATTTGTATTTGAGCAATACACACTAGCAGTTTCTGTCTGCATCAGGCACCAGAACAGGGATTTCTTTACATTTCTCACCTCTGTATCTAACAAAGCATTATCTTCTTGTAACTTCTCATGGGATACATTAATGAGACCCCTGCTTGCTGATGTTCCAAATAAATGCAAAGAGCTCTTTGCGTAGCTTCAGTTCATAAGCACATCATTAAGATTTACAAGAACAAAAGTACTATCCAATTTACTTGCCCATTCTATGTGTTGGACATCCTGACAAACACAACACTGAACAACCTCAGATCTTGACCTCCAGGTGTATCGCCCACAAGAACCCGATGATTTCATGCCAAGCTAACTTCCAGCACTCTGCTAATAAACGATTCATCCCAATTTAGCTACTCCAGCAAAAGGGAACGAACCCATTTGTGAAGTCGGGAATCCCAGCAAACACATGCAAAATCCTCTATTTTAAAGACCATTACAGTCTTACACAGGCCACTGGATTTCGTCTCGTGTTGCCTTTGATGGAAGAATAGTCCTCTCCTCAGGCAAAACCACCATGCAAGTCGTGGCTGAATTACAGCCACACTTACAGGGATGTATGAATTTGATTACGGTCCCGGGACCATAAGTAGATTGAACTATTGGGATGCAAAGGTTAAAGAGTGACTCTTCCCATTTGCCCCATCATCCCCCAAAATCAGACAATTCCTTTTCATCTACGTATTCATAGACTGACCTAGCCCCTTCCTAAACCGCTATTCGGCAAGGTTTGCTCTGCATCCTGAGGTTTTACAATGTGAATTTGTTGCCTAACAGCACCACAGAAGTCCTGTCCTCTACATGCCACTGTTCCTCCAGCAACTCTTCTGTATGTGCAGTTGCGCCAACAGTTCAGGACTTTCATTGTTTTTTACTTACGTCCAAAGAAGTGATGACTCACAGTTCGTTTAAGGCCTCTCAGAGTGCTAAAAAAATGGGATTTGTAATAGATGTAAACCCCCTCTTTGCCAGTCTCCCTCAGGTCTCCCTCATCTGCCTGATACAGGCCACAGCTCTGCAGCTCTCCTAAATCTTCATCCTAATTTTCAGTCTCTGTCCTGCCTATGTCTGTGCCAGCCCTTGAGCAATTTTGTTGGCATCACACGCTCTGTCTCCTCTATGGCCCAGCTGGAAGACAAGAGCACCAGCAACTCTGCCAGCAGAGATAAACCTGCCAGGAGTCTACCTAGCAGTTAAATCACTTCAAGCAAAGTGTACTGAGGTCCTTAGGGCAAAAAAAACCAAAAAGCAGTGCCGGGGTCCCAGCAAGCTGCTCATGTAGACTTCTCTGACTCTCAGGTGATCCGACATCTTATCATGCCATACTCTGGTTAAGAAAGATGCTATTAATATTAAAGTGGACCCATGTTAAACAGATTCAGTATTAGTCAGTTAATTGACCTCAGAAAAACAATCACTGCTAACAGATAACCGTGATGCTGCTCCACAGGGAGGTCTTGGCTCAAATCTACAAGTACCCTGCCATGTTGTGACATGGAGAGATGAAGGATCATGATCATCACAAATAACTCTGCAATAAATACCTAAGTCCAAAAACCTCCACTCTGCCCTCTACAAGAAGCGGGCTTTGGCTACAAACTTTGAACTACTGTTTTGTTATTAGCTTCACTGAAAGGAAAAATAAAGTACAGAGTTAGAGACAGTTCCATTAAAGCAGATGGATTTAAAACCATTTACCAAAGAATGGTAATTAAATTAAAACTGGTTGGACTAGAGAAATGCGTCAAGAGAAGTCAAGCAATGGACTTGGGGGGGTGACTGGGGATGTTTTACAGAGTCATCCAAAGGCAACTGCTTCCTGCAGGGAGTCCCACTGCAGGAGCTATACGTACCTCGTTGCCCAATACCACCTTCTCAGCCTTCAGATCTTCTCGTAACAGTTCAAGCTCAGATGCGAGTTGCTTTCTCCGTTCTCTCCGCTCTCCCAGCTGACTTCCCAACTTTTCTATCGTTTCCTGACAGCTTTCCAGCATCTGGAACAAGCAAGATTGAGAGTCACTTCCACAGCATCATTTATTCTTGGAGAAGAGAAACAAATCGTAAAAAATGTGTCTTCTAGAAAAGCAAGGCTGGGAAAAATGGTTCTCAAAAGTTGACAGCAGGATTCCTTGCACCTTATAACCAGGGTTGGCTGGATACCTCTGAAGGCCTGGAGCCTCCACCTGACCCAAAATATCTTGGGAAGGTCACCTCCCACATGTAATAAGCTCTGTCTGGCTTGGACACTTGGCAGGTCCAACTGGCTGGCAAGTATCAAATTGACAGCAAAGTCAGCCCAAAACCAGCTGGGAAACAGCCTTGTAAAGGTACCTACACACTGCCTAGGTTTCACTAAACCCCAAACAAGAGTCAAGCACCTCTACATGTGTAAACCCTGCCAGGGAGTCAACAAGCTCTGCAGTGCTGAAGGCAAGACAATCTCATGAGAGATGAGTTATCATGGAGACAATACTGGCACGTTAGCTGCTTTCCTCCAAAGACATCCATCTGTCTTGTGTGAGCTGGTGGGCTACAAGTACTCAGAAAATGGTGACAAAGAACGTTCACAGAAGATGCTCATTTAATACATTTTTAAATGGAACAATTTCTTGCCCAAGGAAAGCCTCTTACCTCTTGCATCTCCTGTGCTCCAGACGATGCCTGCTCTTCCCCACTCATCTCAGGTTTGTTCTTCTGCACTTCAAGTAACTCTGTCTCTAAACTTGTAATCTTAACACAGAAAAGCCACAAGTTAAAACCAATCCAGTACTCACAACTGGTACTAAATGCACAACTAGTACTAAATTGCTCCTCGTGCCACTATTACAGAACAAGCCCCATGTTTGGAAGGAAGGAGGAGGAGGGGATGTGGACAACCGCCAGCGTGGGCTAGCACACATCTTTCATCCTGCTGCTTCAACGGGTGAAGGAGCCATCCAAGGCCAAGTCAGAAAATGAAAGATCCCTGCTCCAAAAAAGGAGAGGAATGACCCAGACATATGGTGAAAATTCAAGGCCTCTGCAGCTTGTGGGCCTTCTGCATGCTGCTCTCCCAATGCGGAGGACCCCACGAGACCCTGATTTGTACCGTTGGCCATTCTCCTTTCCCATGCTGTTGCAGTGCCCACTCTCCCGCAGCTGATCTCATCCAAGCAGATGTTTGACCTGGTCCATGAGGACTTGTCTTGGTCCCTCCACCGCTCAAAGGAGGCTGTAGCTCCCTCCTGCAAGGCTCCGAGGACTCACGACTTGAGCCAGCAAAACGCTGACCTCTGTGCTTCTCCTGGCAGGCAAGAGTTTGTCTAGACAAGTGCTCACTCTGCATTTGCACCATCCCTCCGAGGCATCTGCCTTGCGGTGAATCTCATGGGAACGATTATTATTCCTGCAGTTTAAGGGCTTAAAAGAGCTCGAAGCCGTCCAGCTCCTCCTCCCCATTACACTGCAGACCCTTTTGCAAAATCCCAGGCTTGGCACTCACAGCCACTCTGCTCTGCTGCCAGCCAGCACAGCATTCAGCAGCCTTTCCTTTCAGTTCCTTACACTTGGAAGAAAAGTTTGTGCTGGTTTTCTTATTTCTAAACCACCAAGCTGACCTCCCCACTGCCCGAGCTGGGCTTTCACTGGACGAGGCTGCAGAGCGAGTGGGGACACTGGAAGGAGACGAAGTCCAGCTGCAGATAAAATCCAGCTTCATCTGTACACAGCATACACCGTACTCATACAAGCAACATCCATCACCCCACTCGTACAGATGCGTGTATGGTGAAGCACATAAGATGCCTTACGCCTTTCTCGCCCTCCTTCCTTCACACTTATTCAGAGATCATTTTTCATTCCTTCCCAATGGGAAGCCAAAGGCAAAGAAGTGCCAAGTCTCTGCCAACCCCAGCCCATGTAAAGTGGCTACAAAGCAGCTTGTCAAAGCACAGGAGCTTTGCTGTCACTGACAGGCTTCAGGCACAAGATGGCTCTGCTGAAGCTCCCAGCAGGGAATGGTCTCTAACATAAAGGAAAGCTGCTGTGATGCTGTTTTTTAAGACAGATGATGTTACCCAACCTAGGTGTTAAAAGCAAATCAGTGGCATGAAACACTCAGGCCTCTTACAGAAGAGCTAGAGGGCAATAAATGCCCCTCTTCTTGTATGAGTAGATGATAGTTTGGGGTTCAACAAGACTCTGGAGTTCTGGAAGGGACCTCAAAGGCAAAATACACCTCCCCTCCCCGTCCCCCAGCCAAACTTTGGTCATGAAGTCGCTGCTCAGCTATATATTTCCATTATTTTGTTTATTTTTCCTCCAAGCCTCTAACTTCTAAGCATTTAAGTTGTGCTAGTAAGTCTCATGCCAACAGCAGAACAATATTCACATTGTATCCTGGTGTCCTCGTTCCGAGTCAGTGGCCTAATCGGCCAAGATTTTTGCAGGCATGCCAAAACAGAAAAGACTTCCAAGTCCTTCTCACATGGGGCAGCCTGGCCAACACCCAGCAGCGCTGCTTTCTCCAAGGTCCAGTGCACCTGCCTTTGTGTAGTCCTTCCCTCATTACCTCCAAGGCACCCAAAAGCCTCTTGCAGATGAAGGGTGCAGCTCCGCAGCCCTCCCTCTGAGCAGATGCTGGATCTGACAAAGGGTTAACCCACCTCCTCTTCCATCCCATGATCTGCCCATCCCTCCTCCACTGCCCTGCATGCCTCGATTCTGTCTCTTTTTCAGCTACAGCAGCTGCCAAGCTTATGCCAGACAAAATGCCTTCCATCTCCTTGGCTACTCGGTGCTCCCCGCTGCGTTCACCCTGCATCCCCCAAAGCAGCGTTCCCAGGGATCTGTTTAACAACGCAATGAGCGAAGAAGGGATTCCTCCAAACTGAAAATGCACCTTGTTTGATTTGTGGAGGGTTGTGTTTATTCTACTTCAGTGAGAAAGTGGGAAACACTTTTGTGTGTGCTGAACAAACCCCGATTTAAACAAAAGCAGAGTCATGCTGGACAGACCTTTCACCATTCCCATCAGAGCGCCTGCCCGTGGCTCCTCAGCTACACACTTAGAAACATGATGTCTGCTGGCATCCTTCATTAAGATATTTGAACATGCTTTCAGTCTTTTTCACTGTATTTAGAGAATTTTCCCTCACAGCCAGAGGCTACTGACAAGGAATTAATCTTTTCTTCCTTTGCACAATTCATCTTGGAGATGTGTGGCTACTTCAGCATTCACATGGGATATGCCTTCACGCCTGTACTATCTCCTACATCATGTTTTAACACAGCAGCAACTGTATGGACAAGTCAGGTCACTACTCACTCCTGACTGAAAACCTGTGTGTGCCCTTCTTTCTCACCTCAGAAATCCAAGGTCCCTCTAGGGATGCTACGGCTGGTCCTGCTGCCTGGCAATCCAGGACCACAATCACTGCAGAGAGCATCTCTTAACCACAGACAGAGGGGAGAGGGTAACTCAGCCTAAGGAAGGAAGAGCTTCTGACCACACAGCAGGGCTTCAGCCAAAGGAAAAGATCTCCTCAGCCAGCCTTTTTGGGGAGGAGCCCACCTACTCATCTAGCAAGACCAATTTCTGGCTTCCTCTGTTCTCTCTGGCTATAAATTCTTCAGCTGCCCTGCCTGTAAGGGATCACGTGCCCTGGTAGTCATGCTGCACAAATGCTGCAAACGGTATTTTCCTCAGGGGCAAGCAGTGACCAACCAGTCCAGAAGTGCAGATGCTCCTCACAGAGCAACGTCCAGAGGGATGGACAGTCCATCCAGTAAATTGAGGCTAAAGTCCACTCTGACAAAGGCAGCATCAGGCTGAGAAGCTTCAGCAATAACTTAATCTTTGCTTAAAACATGGATGGAGACAGCTCTGCAGGTGTTGCAAGGAGACCTCTAATGTTGCCATGGTTCTGGTAGACCAGATAATCAACATGGTGCTTCACATCTGCAGTTTCCCAGAGGTTCCCTGTCACATGCAAATGAGAAGAACTAACAAAGACTTTCTATCAACCTCCTAAAGTGAAAGGATGATCTGAATGGTCTTGCTATTAACAGGAAAAGATCCAGATTGCCCTGGGTTGAGGGTGCCCAAAATCGAGTAGGACACGGGTTAGGAAGAGACTGGTGAGATCACGTCTTGATCAAGATGAAGCAGAGCTTCTCCAGATGTATCAGCTTGTCACAGCTCTTCAAAAAGATGTGTCCAGCCATGCCTGCCTGACTCAACAGCAGATGCTGCAGCAAGAGGTAGCAGGTGATGAGAGAAACTGTCCCCTCAAATTTGGTATTTGCAGCAGGGATGTCCCCATCCCCAGGCAGTGAAGATCCTGTCCCCCCACATCCAAAAGTGCCTCAGTGTTTGCCACATGGGCTGACAGATCTCCAAGATGCTGCGCTTGGGGAAAAGCCAAAAATGCAATCTTTTGTCAGCAGCATGCTTAACTAAGTGACCTTTCCTGGGATCAAGGAGCATCAGTGTCCCATGCTGATCATTTTCATGTAGGAATTCAAGTCAAGGCCTGGACTTCTATCATGGATGCCAGGTTAAGGAACTTCTATCATGGGCTTCAGGAAAACCTCTCGCCTCTCTTCTGAGCCTCAAGAGGACTCGGGG